TCCTAGCTGCCATCGCTTGCATTCACGTCGCCGCAATGTGGGTGGCTCGTGCATTAAAGCTGAGACACATCGACCGTGCATCTTGTTGACAGTCTTTAACAATCAGTCTGCATATGCAGTAAAAGCATTTCGTTGGTTGATTGATGCGAATATTGCAGGTATTTTATTTACAAATGTGTGCCTATGTATGTATGTAAAACTGTTATAATATACATACATACAAGTATCAACTTAAGAGCATCAGTGGTCTCCAATTGTTAGTGAGGAAAGTAGTTATAGATGTTGGGAATTCTGCAGCGTTTTTATAAATTCTACCAATTTTTAAGAACTCATTTATAGAGGTGCTCCTAAATAAGCAATTTGTGGCTCGAAAGCGATTAGTTCACTGACTTCACTACCAATTTTTGACCCTCCATTAATCGCATGATGTCATAGTAACATCATAAGATCATCACTACCATTTAGTAGCGCTTTATCTTATATGATGTGTGATCATGAGATGTTGTAGTGTTAGTGTGACTTGTAATTCTTGTCTTTGGCTGTCGGGCATATATAAGAAAGTGCCTACCAACGGTCCACTAATTGGTGATGATGTGTGATCACATGAACTATAACATCATGTGATTTGTTGATATGATGTTACTATGTTTGTTGACGTGACATGAAATTCAGTCCATAAGTTTTTTTTTACAAATTTAACAAATATGGTTCTAAGTTCATTTCGTGTTGCTTAGAACTCTTACTATAATATCATTTTCTCTGTTACCGATGCGTCATTTATTACCCCAGGAGTGTTGATCCTTAATAGAGCTCAGCTTCAAAGATTTGTATTCGTTTATGTGTACCACTTCTGAATAGTTGCCATAACTACGTCATATACAATATATACTAAGATGAAGGCGTTTAACTTCGAACAACTTGAGGGATTTCAGAGAAAACATTGTATAGAATCCTCTCTATTTTATTCGCATATAATATGAATTTACAGAACCTTGAGGGATAGTCCAACAAGAACTAGTAAATTTGGAAGCAATGGATAATGGAGCCGCTAGGTGTCGCTGAGGTCATTAAAGTTTAGTTATATAGATATATATATATATATATAGAGCATATTTATGGTATACCCTGAACAGAGTATATTAAGATTGCCACGATGTTTGGAACGTCACCCCATAAAATATGTATCTGCAAGTAAATGATGAGCGTGACGAGCTAAGTCGTCCGTACGTCTGTCTGTATGTACGATACTAGTCCTTCAGTTTCTGAGATATCGATCTTGCACGCGCTCTCTTTTCCCCAAGAAGCTGCTCATTTGTCGGAACCGCCGATATCAGACCACTATAGCATATAGCTGCCATACAAACTTTACGATCGGAATCAAGTGCTTGCATGGAAAACTTTTTCATTTGACGAGATAGCCTCACGAAATTTGGAATGTTATTTGTTATAAAATAGGAAGGATATGTTCGTATTATTATCTTCGCGCCCTCAATCTAGCCACTGCACGCGTGTAGATTCATGCTGGTTTTTGTTTTGTTACATATATTGTTTCAAGGTTCTATTATGAAATATATATGTGTTTTTGTTTTTTATTCTACCACCATTCTAGCCAACCACTCGTTTGCCCTACACAGGTAGGTGCATAGCTAGCTGCTAACTGCGCGAGTCCTTCGCACATTTCTAAATATTAATGCGTGCAAATATGATGAGTGCATTGCATAATACCCACTCTCGCCTTGTTGACTATCTTTATGCAAATTGAATGCGCACCACCAGCGACGCATTAATGCCAAACAATGCGTATTCAAATACATTTTATGCAGCGTGCACTGCATTGACTCCCACTTCCGTGTCCTTCGCAGCAACAGCCGCCACACCTAAGCTAGCGTGCAATTACTAGCAGTCAACATGCATAGCTGTGAATAACGGTAATGTGTAGGGAGCGATGACGGGTGATAATGTGTAAGGAGTGTGTTGGGTGGTTGGATAAGTGTGCCTAGCGCATAATAACCAACCAGCAGTGTTGTGTTGCTGCTGCATGGAGACCCACTTAGCTGCACGCTTGGGCGCTCCTGCGGGTACTCAACGCATCTACTCATTCAATGCACGCATGCAAATATTTTGCTTCATTTTATCACGCGTGCCAACGAGTACCACCCATGCGCAAGTTGTGTGGCAGAGTGGGCGCGCTTACTTACACCCTACATACATTCAAATATTGTGCGGTTAGTTTATCCTTGTTGATATTTCAACGTTCTTTTTTTTCTACATTTGCTTGCTTGGCATGTTATTATGATTGCTGCTCGCTTGCGAGTTGTTGTTTTTTGTTAGTTTTTTGTTTTTTTTTTAGTTTATTTAGGCGGCGCTGTGCACGATGTTATTGCAGCTGCTTGAGCTCCCTTACGTAATCCTGCCACATAAAATGCATTCATTCATTTGCAATTAGATCAGCTGAGGTAGATTTGTACTCTAGTCTAGTGTGGTAGGTAAGTGGGTAGGCAGCTGGTGGCAAGCATCCTTGGTTGACTTATGCCTATAGCAAGCAACTGGCACGACTGCTGCATAGTTAATGATGTTGCAGCAATGTGGCAACAGCATGAACACCATCTATAGCAACAGCATATGTGTGCCACATACCAGCAGTTTGGCATATTGTTAGGCGCATCAACAATATAATGCATAGCAAGGCGTTGCAGCATCTATGGTGGTAGCCGTTTAATAAGGGTGGCTGTCTGCTGGTAAGCGCTGCTTGTGGAGCCATATTCACCTCTTGAGCACTCCGATTTATTGTGTGTTGGAATTTCAATTCAATTCAATGCCCGTGTAGTATATTTGTATGCGCTTCGTAGCTTGTTTGCTTGCTGTCGTGGCTCCCAATACTGCGCTTGGAAGCTGGATTGGTTGGTTGGCTGGTGCATACTCGAAGTGTTGCTAAAGTCAGTCGCTCTGTCCATCGTGCGTGAATTTCGTAGTGAGCGTTGATGCAGCAGCGCTTATTGTTTTTTAATTTCTAATTGTGCTTATTCTTCACAAAGACAGTGCATTCGGTGCAATTAGGGTGCTTTTCCCCTATGATGATCTAAATTTTTCACGTTTTGTTAAAGTGTAAGGGTGTGTTGTCGAATATGTAAAAAACAAAAAAATGCTGTGTGGCATTATGATAAAAGCTGGAGTTTTGTCTGAAATCTCAAGCGCCGCATCAGCACTTGAGACGCTATTGTTGCACCAAATGTCATGAACGCTATACGTCCCCAGTTTTTGGTATTTCGATACATCACTTCATTCGAATTAGTTTAAATTGCAATTGATGTCTCGAATAGTGTGTGCAAATAGCCGTACCGAAAGCCAAGTTTGGCATCAAAATTGGTCACTGGACTGGAAAAATTTGTTTTTCTTTTTCTTCGCAGCTCAAGCTTTGGCGAACAATGCTGTATGTTTTCATTGTATACTTCCTCAAATATCTGAATACTCAAGTTCCAATGATGTTGACTGTTGATCTGTATAAATGCTTCTGAGCTAACCGGTAGTTTCGGCTTCTTTTAATTGCTTTATCATGCCCATACTAAATCTGCTGTATTCTTTTAATTACTTTCAATCAACGGCTTAAACCTCAGAGCGTGGTAATCTTTCAATTTTTCTTGAGTTTATATTATTCGACTAATTCTTCAACTTCAACTCTCTAATGTCCATTTAGTTATTAGTGATCAGTTGAGCTATAACTGAAAGGCAGCGAGTAGTTCCGCCAAAAAGGTTATCAATAATTGTTTTTTTAACATTTACATTAGGACCAGAAAGTTTCCGGAAGTTGTAAATAAAACGAAAGATTTTTAATCTTCATCAATATTTATTTGTCGCTTTCAAAATATGCTCCTTCTAAAGCGATACCTCCTATCTTTTTTCAGTCATCGAAACATGCCTTGTAGGTGCTGTACGGGATCGCCTTCAATTTACTCTGCGAATTTTCTTTTACGCCCGTAATCGAGTCGAAACGGGTTCAGAGTGGTTTTATCGATGGTATTGAACGAGTTTTTGGTCTTGAAATCGTTCATTATACTCTGTAGCAACATGTTGTACCATGAAACCAGAAAGTTTCCGGAAATTGTTTTTGTTTTTTCGATATTCGCGGTTTGGTTCATCATGAATTCGTTCCAACGGGACAGACGGTCAATACAGAATATTATTTCAGTGTTTTGCGCGAAAACATCCGTCATAAATGGCCGGAATTGTGGGCCAACAATTTCTGGAAACTTTCAGGTCTTAATATAAAATTATATGTCAATACTTCGTTAGTAGTTTAAAAATTTTTACTATTTTTCTGCGCTTACTGCTCTCGCAATTAAAGCCAGTTCTCCCATAGTAAGAAAAATATCCACAGACCATTCGAAATTCTCTTTGCCTCACCTTGGGTGCTCTTTTGGAACCGTTCTTCGACTTTACGGCATATGACATACATCTGAACTTAAAAGTTGATTATGGGTCGGTCAGAAAATTTAACGTTTCTAGAATGAAGGCCCAAGCTTTTTCTGAGGATTTTAAGGTGAAAATGTTGTTTTAAAGGCGGACTGCTACTTTAGTTTCGACTCTTTCGGACGCCACAGATAATGAAGCTCTCTATATGGTTAAAATAATATCATTTAACATTTTTCGGCCAGAAACGATTACTATTCGAAAAACCATTTATACCTTTTTAAAATTTGTTTGCCTGCGCCATAGATTCCATCTTGGCTTGAGAACACTGTCAAAATAAAAATCGCAATAACCTATAGAACTTCGGAACCTTATCAAAAAGCAGATGTATTTTTATGAAGTTCTTAAATAGGTGTTTGCAAATTATTTAGTCTGGCGTACATTTGCTACAGATTACGAATTTTTACTACAAGTATATATGTATTTACAATATAAAAAATATTTTCCATTTTAGCTATATTTTCGATATAAATATGACTATATATGTAAGACGACATTTATACTAAGCAAATATTTTCTTCATTTCTTTCCAGGTCACATATCACCCGCATTATCCACAGCGTCTTCAACCGCCATTTCTTCCTTTTCATCGTCTTCCATATTGCCCAACGGTGCAAGTCCGTCGGCATTTATACCCTCAACACTGCTATTCACCACATATCATGACATACAAGTCGCGAACATTACACGACCGACTGGTAGTCCACAAATCGAAGTCATCGTCAAAGATCTCACCGAAACGATGGCCATCGATTTCTATTATGCACGCAATCTAATTTGTTGGGCTGATTGTGGACGTGAGGTCATTGAATGCATAAATGTTAATACTTCGGTGCCATTGGTAAAGGCACCCAAACAAACTGTGATATCTGCGGGTCTCGATAAACCCGAAGGACTTGCCATCGATTGGTATACGGATAAGTTGTATTGGACGGATGGTGAAAGAAATCGCATCGAAGTAGCAACGTTGGATGGTAAATATCAGAAAGTGCTTTTTTGGACGGATTTGGATCAACCGCGCGCTATTACGGTGGTACCTTCAAAACGCCTACTCATTTGGACCGATTGGGGTGAGTATCCAAGAATAGAGCGTGCCAGCATGGACGGTGATCCATTGACGCGCATGACAATTGTTAAAGACAATATCTTTTGGCCGAATGGCTTGGCGGTCGATTTGAAGAATGATGTCGTGTATTGGGCGGATGGTCATTTAAAGTTTATCGATGTAATGAAATTTGATGGCAGCAATCGTCGTACAGTTGTTGGTAATTTGGATTATCCTTATAGTGTAACGTACTTCAACAATCGTCTGTTTTGGACCGATTGGTCTAAGGGCGGCTCACTAAATACTTTCGATATAAAATCACGCGAGTTGCGTGAGCTCATCGATACACCGGAAGCTCCGATTACCTTGCGCACTTGGGATCCTTCACTACAACCGTTCGAGGATAATCCCTGCGTGCATAATAATGGCAACTGCTCACATATATGTTTGCTTTCAACCAATGCAAAGGGTTACAGCTGCGCTTGTCCGACGGGTGTGCAATTGGCTACAGAAACAACTTGTGCTAATGGTTCGCGTGAAATGCTATTCATCGTGCAACGCGGTCTGCTTAGCAAAATTTCTTTGGATATGCCGGACTTTACAGTATTTCCATTGCCATTGGGTAAAGTGAGATACGCTATTGCAATCGACTATGATCCGGTTGAAGAGTATATTTATTGGTCCGATGTAGAGGCGTATGCGATACGTCGCGCACATCCAGACGGCACAGCCATACAAGATTTTGTGACATCCGAGGTGCGTCATCCTGACGGTCTGGCGGTGGATTGGCTCGCACGCAATCTTTACTGGACTGACACCGTAACAGATCGCGTGGAAGTATGTCGTTTGGATGGTTCAGCGCGTAAAGTACTTATCTATGAGGATCTCGAAGAACCACGTGCCATTGCGCTAGCGCCCTCGCTAGGTTGGATGTTTTGGAGTGATTGGAATGAAAAGAAACCAAAGGTTGAGCGTGCATCACTGGATGGTTCCGAGCGTGTGGTGCTTGTATCTGAAGATCTTGGTTGGCCGAACGGTATAGCTTTAGATATTGAAGCGAAAACAATTTACTGGTGTGATGGCAAAACCGATAAAATCGAAGTCGCCAACATGGATGGCTCTGATAGACGTGTCGTCATAAGTGACAATCTCAAGCATTTGTTTGGTTTGAGTTTGCTCGATGACTATCTTTACTGGACTGATTGGCAACGCCGTGCCATTGATCGCGCACATAAAATAACTGGCAACAATCGTATAGTCGTCGTTGATCAATACCCAGATCTTATGGGACTGAAAGTGTCGCGTTTACGTGACGTTAAAGGCTCGAACGCATGTGCGGTACGCAATGGCGGCTGCTCACAGCTTTGCCTTAACCGTCCCAGTGACTACGTGTGCCGTTGTTCGATCGAATATGAGTTGGCGAACGATAAGAAGACATGCGTCATACCCGAGGCATTTCTGCTATTCTCACGGCAAGAGCACATTGGACGCATTTCGATTGACAACAACGAAGGTAATCACAATGATGAAAAGATACCGTTTAAAGATGTGCGCGATACGTACGCTTTGGATGTGGATGTGGCAGACCGACGCATCTATTGGACGGATCAGAAGTCAAAATGTATTTTTCGCGCATTTCTAAATGGTTCTTTCGTGCAACGCATTATTGATACTGGTCTTATATGTCCCGAGGGCATTGCCGTAGACTGGCTGGGGCATAATATTTACTGGACCGACTCGGAAGCGCGGCGTATTGAAGTTGCACGCTTAGATGGCACCAGTCGACGCGTGCTACTTTGGAAGGGAGTAGAAGAGCCGCGTTCGTTGGTGTTGGAGCCCAAACGCGGTTATATGTATTGGATCGAATCGCCTTCGGATTCGATTAGACGTGCCGGCATGGATGGCTCTGAATTACAAACAATTATATCGGGTGCGAATCATGCCACGGTGCTCACATTGGATCCAGAGACACGCCGTCTCTACTGGGCAACACAATCGGGTCCGACTAAAATCGAATCTGCCGACTGGGATGGCAAAAAGCGCCAGGTACTGATCAACACAGATGTCGACGAACCCTGTGCGATGTCGCTATATCAAGACTATGTCTATTGGAGTGATTGGAATACGGGTGACATAGAGCGTGTGCATAAAATAACTGGACAAAATCGTAGTCTCGTGCACAGCGGCATGACTTATATACGTTCGCTGTTAATATTCTATGAAAATCGCCAGTTGGGCACCAATCCGTGCAAAATCAACAATGGCGGCTGTTCGCATTTGTGTTTGGCGCAACCGACGCGTCGCGGCATGGTGTGCGCCTGCCCAACACACTACACTTTGGCTAAAGACAACATATCCTGCCTGCCACCCAAAAACTACATTGTCTATAGTCAGCGTAACAGTTTCGGCCGGCTGATGCCCAACACCAGCGATTGTCCGAATGTGCCGCTGCCCGTTGTGGGAAAGAATATACGCGCGGTGGAGTATGATCCAATTTCGCATAATATTTTTTGGGTGAGTTGAGTAGACTGAGCTCTGTAGTTTGCACGTATTCAATACTAATTTACCTATTTAACGCTACCATTCAACAGGTCGAAGGTCGCAGCCATAGCATTAAACGCTCACTCGCCAACAGCAGCTACATTAAGATCTTAGTTGGTTCGGGTGCGCAGCCTTTCGATATTGCAATTGACGTGATTGGTCGTCTGCTCTTTTGGTCGTGCTCGTACGCAAACACCATTAATGTAACGCGGTAAGTAGGAAGGAGGAAATTTAGTTAGTTTACCTCTGATTTTTAATACCTTTTCAAACTCACACAGATTCGACGGCGACTCAATCGGTGTCATCGATACTGGCGACTCGGAGAAGCCGCGCAACATTGCCGTACACGCCATGCGGCGTCTACTCTTCTGGACCGATGTGGGCAGTCAGCAGGCCATCATACGTTCGCGCATTGATGGCGCTGAGCGTGTAGTGCTCGCCTTCAAGCTGGAAGGTGTAACAGCGCTTGCAGTGGATCAACAAAGCGATATGGTCTACTATGCGCATGGCAAGCGCATCGACTCCATGGACATAAATGGCAAAAATAAGTAAGTTGACACAACAAACACACAAAACAGTATATTTCACAAGCGCCGTACCACACGCTTTCGTTGTAGAAAAATTCTCGTTTCCACGCAAATCTCGCAAGTCATCTCGCTTGCTGCGCTCCAGGGTTTCGTCTATTGGTTGGATGATAAAACAGGTGTGGAGCGCATAACCGTCAATGGCGATGGTCGGCGGCCGGAAATACAACGTCTGCCACAAATTACGGATATTGTCGCCGTTTGGACGCCAGAATCGAAACTGTTTCGCAATCATACCTGTCTGCACAGTCGCACCAAATGTTCACACATATGTATCGCCTCATCCGAGGGACGCGCGCGTGATATTTGCTCTTGTCCGAAAAGTCTCATGTTGCTTGAGGATAGACAAAACTGTGGCGCTTTGCCCGCCTGTGGACCAGATCACTTCACCTGCGCGGCGCCTGTCAAGGGTGATGGCTCCAGCAGTGATACGAATAAGGATTGCATACCGGCCTCGTGGCGCTGTGATGGCCAGAGCGATTGTCCTGACAAATCAGATGAAGTTGGCTGTCCCACATGTCGACCGGATTTGTTCAGTTGCCAGTCGGGTGAATGTATCGATAAAGATCTAGTTTGCGATGGCACTACAAATTGTGCGAATGGACATGACGAGGCGGACTGTTGCAAACGGCCAGGCGAATTTCAGTGTCCCAGCAATAAGGTAGGTCGCAGCAACTTCACCCACATTTGCATTAAATATGGTTTTTCTATAATTTAAATTCATCATTTACAGGTTTGCATTTCGGCTACACTAGTATGTGACGGTTGGGAGAATTGTGCCGATGGCGCTGATGAATCTGCCGAAATGTGCTTGCAACCGAATACACGCGCCATGGCGCCTGCATCTGATAAGAAAGCCTTTATGATACTGATCTTTGCCACCATCGTCATTATATTCTCCATAGTCTATTTGCTACAGGTTTGTCGCACTAGAATCGGCAAAAGTCGCAATGAACCCAAAGATGATCAGGCATCTGATCCACTCTCACCCTCTACACTGTCGAAATCACAACGCGTTTCGAAAATCGCCTCGGTTGCCGACGCAATGCGCATGTCCACGTTAAATTCACGCAACAGCATCAACTCGTATGATCGCAATCACATCACAGGCGCCTCCAGTTCAACAACAAATGGCAGCAGCATGGGCGCTTATCCGATTAATCCGCCACCCTCACCAGCGACACGCTCACGTCGCCCTTATCGTCATTATCGCATTATAAATCAACCACCACCGCCAACACCCTGTTCCACAGACATCTGCGACGAGTCCGATTCGAATTACACCAGCAAATCGAATAGCAACAATAGCAATGGTGCCACGAAAATTTCCTCATCGTCGATGGTAATTTGCATGCAATATCAGTATGATAGTGAGCCATATCCACCACCGCCGACGCCGCGCTCGCACTATCACAGCGATGTGCGAATAGTGCCGGAGTCATCGTGTCCGCCATCACCGTCGTCGCGTTCGTCAACATATTTCTCACCGTTGCCGCCGCCACCATCGCCAGTGCAATCGCCCAGCCGTGGTTTCACGTAACATTTTGAGATTTACTTGTAAAAAATAGTATTAAGGTTAAGTGCGCATGTGGTGTGCATAAGTGTCAGTGTGTGTGTGTCAGTTTTTTTTGTTTATTAAAATCGCGTTTAAACCTATGTATAACGGTTTAAAGCAGATATTTGTGTATTGTTGTGTGTTTGCGCATAGTTTTCCATATTAATATGCGTTAGTTTGTTTTAAAATGTAACTTAGTTTAATGCCAATTGCAATGACGTAACGTTCATATCATGAAAAAAATGCTTCCGTTTACTTATACCGTTACTTTTAACGTTTATTCATTAGTCCTAAGCGTAGATAACTTTAAATTAGTATGTTTGTGTGCATATAAATACGATACCAAGCTAGATATACTGTATAATTATATATATTGCTCTATATTATATACTTGCAACTATCTACCAGCTATGTATTGACCCTTGACCTGCGTCGAAATACCAAACTTTTTAATTTTCCTTACAATATTCTTTATCGGCTCTTAGTTCAAAAACAAAAAAGTAAATTCGAGTAGTAATTTTGGGAGTGTTACAGTAACGGCAGTTTTTTTTTATAAAGTTTATTACTACAATTCAGCATTTTTTGTTTTTTGAATTTGAGATTATCATTCAGCAGATTTTTGTTTTTAATTAATGTCATCATTCAGCATTTTTTTCTTTTGAACTTTATGTTAACATTCAGAATTTTGTTTTTTGAGTTTGAGGCTATTCAGCATTTGTTATTTTTTGATATGAAGTTATCATTCAGCATTTTTTGTTTTTTAATTGAAGTTATCATTCAGCAGTTTTTTTTAATAAAAGTTATCATCAAGCTTTATTTTTTGAATTTGATGTTATTAAGCATTTTTTGTTTTTTGTTTTTCTTTTGAATTTGAGGTTATCATTCAGCGGTTTTTTTTTCGAATTTGTGGTTTTCACAAATAGTTGAAACCCACGCATTCATTATATACTCGGTATTATTTTTGCTCCATACACTACTTAAATTTCCGTAAGATCTCAAAATTGCTTACTACTCCATATTTGTATTTCAATAGTATTTAAAAAAAAAACTTATTTTTAATAAAATATTAGTGATTTCAAAAAAAGTTATTATTTATTAAAATAAAAAATTAAACTATTGCAATCGACAACATTTATTAAAATTAATTTTCTTAATAAATTTAATTTTTTCTTATTTGAAGCAAAAATTTGAAATGCAAATAAAGAAAAATATGTAATTTTTTTTTCAAAAATTAATGATTTCTAAACAACAAATTTTAAATATTGCAAATTGAAATAAATTATTTTTTATTAAATAAAATTTTTTTTATTAAATAAATTTTTTTTTTATTAAAACAAAAAATTTTAATACAAATTAATAAAAAAGTTTTGTTTAAATTAACAAATATTGGTTTGCATAAACAAAAAATAATAATAATAAATAAATTAAATAAAAACTTAAACAATTGCAAGCAACATGTCTTCGAAAATATTTAATTTAAATACGTAAAAAATGTGCCAAATTTTTCCTAATAGTGTGTATTGAAAATGTTTATTAACAAAAATACTAAAGTGAATTAAGACTTTCGAAAATTAATGTTAAACATACTTCAAAATACAATTTTTTGTAAAAAGTAAAATGTCAATATTCATTTAAATAATTATGTGTTGCGCAGCCTCAGCGCTTATTGCTGTATTGAGGTCATTGAAGCAAGTATTAAAAGTATTTTGGAAAATGTTTTTCGAGTGAAGTTCGGAATTACGAGTATTTACATATATATATGTATGTATGTATCTCTGTTAACAGCAATAATGCACAAGTATTGTACTAACGTGTGCAGTAACAATAATATGGAGCCACCAAAATTTCCATATCAGCGGCTTTGTTATTGTTGTTGTTTTAAGTGTTAGTTGAGTTCTCACTGGTTTCCAAAATCATATCATCACTTACAAAAAAATATAAAAAATATATACACATATAAAAAAGGTTGAGTTATCACTGGTTTCCAAAATCATATCATCACTTACAAAAAAAAAAATATATATAAACAAAGGTTGCGTTCTCACTTACAAAAAATATATACCATTTAAAAATTTTTAAAATTATTCAGCTCGTGAAAGCTTCTCCATTTAACATTTTTAAATTTTCCCATTTCAAATGTTATTCAAAAAAAAAAATATAAGCTTTGCTATAATGACATTGAGGTTTAAAAATTATAAAAAAAAACGTTTAATAGACAATTGTCAAATCGGCATGTATGTAAATAAATAGATAAATATATATGTATAGTATGTATGTACATATATGAAGTGATTCGATAAGTATTAAAAGGAGCAATTTGTTAATACTATCGTAACGCTCAACCTAACCACAAAATTATTGTTAAGTCAATATTTTTTTTTATATATTTTTATCATACAGAACATATTTTAAGAAGCGTCGCTAGTAAAAGTATGAAATCGCTTGCTTTTCGTAATCCTAAATATAATTTTTTCAAAACGAGTAAATAAAAATGCCGCAAAAGTTTAAGTAAATAGTGAAAATTTATATATTGTGTGTTTATGGTCATTAAAAATAGCGCTAAAATTGTAAAAAATACAAAAAATATAAATAAATAATTGTAAAGCGTTTGAATGTATAATTGTGTGTGAGTTGAAGCCGTGTTAACGCGAGTTAGATAAGTATAATCGAAATAGATAACAAAATAAAAAGATAAACAAAGCAAAACATGTTTGTTAAATGTACACCATTGTAAATGTAAAGGTATGAGCTTTTTTTTTTTAGCATATATCAGCTTTTAATACATATAACTCTCAACACAATCGTTTCACGTATTCTGCTAAGCTAAAATGTTTATTCAAATATCACTTGTTTAGCCACCACAAAAATATTATTTATTTTTACAACTTCCAATTTCCATTTAACTAAATTTCTTTACCATTGCCTAATTGTTTATTTCACCGTTATAATGCATAATATACATAGTTTATATTTGTAAAATCTCCAATGCCACATTACAAATTGTAAGTAAGAACTTCCTAGCATTTAAATAATTTGTTATTAATGCCAAAAAGTGCCTCAATAATTTGTTCTACACCCGTTTCATCCAATTGTTACATTTACACGCATTTGTATATAAATACTTAAGTGTATACACCTTTCAAATGTTAAATTTTAACTTAGATTTTTTTTATAGTTATAATGAAATATTAAATTGAAATAAAAAGTATACTTATATATATATATATATTTTTCAATATAAGCGTAGTTGTTTAATAAGTGTAGTTAATTTTCATAAAATTAAGAGTGAAATTACTAATTGTATAAATATATTACTATGTTTACAAAAAATTATATACAAATGCAGTTTCAAACATTAAAACACTGATGACTTTAAAACCATTTTTGATGCTTATTAAACAAGTTGCAGGTAGGTAGTTTTGGAAAAAAAGTATTAAGCGGTATCTGTACGTATACTTGGGGTATTGGGATATTCTATTTAAGAAAAACAAGAAAAATTGTTAACTGCGATTGCACCGAAGCTATAATGCCCTACACAGATGCATTTTCATAACATAAAAAAGTATAACAAGATCTTTATATTGATTTTGATCATTCAGTTTGTATGGCAACTATATGCTATAGTAGACCGATATCGACGGTTTCATCAAATGAGCAGCTGCTTGTGGAGAAAAGAACGTGCGCCAAATTTCTGATGAATGTCCCAAAAATTTTACTTTGTTCTTACAATGTATACTTTTTGCATAGAAGACTTCTGCTAGTAATCGCTCTTTTCGATTTGCAGTTTAATTTACTGCAGACAATTAAGGAAATATACGATTAGTATTCATAACTTGAATTTCCACTTTTAAAAGTTATTTGCTTCCACTTGCTTCGAGTAGCATAATTTCTCAACGTGCAGATTTAAAGCTACGAAAGCAATCAAATACTAAGTATTCCGTTACAATTGCATCAGGTAGAAGCTTTTACGCTAGCTGCTATGTGGGAGAACGCCAATGATTTATATAATACCCAGTAAGAAAATTTGTTGTAAAGTGATTACGTTTTCAAATATAGCGCGTTTTACGTAAGCGATTCTTGACAGAAATTAACAAAAAAAAAAAGAATGAAAAATTGCTGAAAAATAAAAATAAAGTCAAGTTCTTGTATGGAAAATTTTTTAATTTAACAAGATATCTACACGAAATTTGACACGAATACTGCCCAAAGCAACACTACAATCTCCAAATAAATTTTTGAAATCGAACTACTATAGCATATATGTAGCTGTCATACAAACTGAACGTTCAAAATCAAGTTTCTGTAAGGAAACCTTTTTATTAGTGAAGACTATTCTAGCTTTGATGAAAACGAGTTTAACTCTTATTCTGCTTTGTATATAGCTAGTCACCAGCGATCTTAATATAATATCTTTCGAAATCGAAGTTCTTTTCTTCGAACATGACTGCGCGCTTCATTTCACCGCATATTTTCCTAGTGTATGCCTTTTACCTTGCCGCGGGCATTATCAAGAACCGAAATGCACAGACATTGCTACGCGTACTATTTGCTTAAGATAAATCCGCGCGCATGAAATTGTTGATCCACTTAAACGCCTATTTGTTGTCAGTTTAACCGCCTGCCTGGCTGTCGAAGAGCCAACTACGATAAGAATTGAATAATCACGTTAAGATTTACACAAATTGTACAGAAGCTGTACGAGATATCGGAGATAGAATTAGTTTGAAGCGGCGCGAGTGCTCGCAAATGCGAAATAGGCATTTGAGACAGGACAGGAGTAGAACTGTTGGCGGCAGTGCGCAGAGACGAAAGACGAACAATTAATAAAAATACAAATTTAAATAATTAGCGACTAAACTTAGTGAGTGTGGTTGTTGTGTGGAAATGTGATAATAATACGTTTTATAAATTTATTTGCGGTTAAGGCTACGTACGGCATTCTGGCATTTAAAAGTAGATCGCAACGTTGACAGCTGACTCAGTGTAAAAGTAGACGGTGAAGTATCGTGTATATCTTAACTGTTTTTTTTTTATAGTTTATAAATTAATAAAATAAAACAAAAAATTACTCAGTAATCTTATTGAAAAATTTTCTCAACAATTCAATTGAAAATGTCCGCCGAGGAGGAGCTTCTTAAACTAAAACCTCATAATTTAGAAAATGGCGCTGGCGCGTCAGCAGGCGCTAAAAAAGTAACGGCAGATGAGCTTACAGCTGGTGACAAGCCCAAGGAGCAATGGGGCAATGAAATTGAATTTCTTTTCTCCTGCATTTCATTGTCTGTGGGTTTGGGCAATATTTGGCGTTTCCCTTATATCGCTTTTCAAAATGGCGGTGGCGCTTTTGTCATACCATATTTGATTGTTTTGCTTATCATTGGACGGCCAGTGTATTATTTGGAGATTATATTGGGACAATTTTCGGGTCGGGGCTGTATTAAGGCATTCAATATGGCGCCAATTATGAAGGGTGAGTGCAAAGAAGAGCAATAATTTATTACAAATATAATATAAAATATAATTATATTAAAAAAAAAACAAGAAAAAACGTTCAATTCGGTTGCACCGAAGTTATAATACCCTTCACAAATAAAAATCGTTTCAGTTCGTCAACTTATAGGGTCTACGTTGTTTCCTACTGGTTGTTACAAACATCGCGGCAAACTAAAGATAACCTGCTCATAAAAACAGCTAAATTAAACAAATAAACGTAATCTGTTTATAATAAGTTTATAGTAATGTAAAAAGAGATAGTAAAACTATTTCGTTTTTGCCATTGCAGCTGATATAAAGATAACTAACATTCACAAAAATATCTTAAGGGAACTCAAAATGCGGCGTCTAGACACTGATATAGGCAAGCAAACTATGGGTTAAATCACTGGTTATTTATCTAAGCGCGCTACCAAAAATTTCTGTTAAAGTTTCTATGAGTTTCTTAAGGCCGTATTGACAAGTCTAACCGAAAATCTTGTGTACGTGTCGTTGTTGCACGTTATTTATATTTAGTTGCCACGGTAATACTTTTAATATATTAGAGTTTTGTTAGTCGTGACTTGCTTGTTAATTTTTCACTCTGTCAAATTTATATTAAAAAAATATTGTGTGACCTAACCTAACATTCTACAAGTTTTTTTAACGAAACTGTAATTCTATTTTCTTTAAAGACCCTTGTCTTGCAAACAGAAGCAGAATATAGTTATAACCTCTTAAGCCACTTGCAAAGCAGAATAAACGAGTTTTTTCGTGATTTTTTTTTTTTAAAGCGAATTTTAATAAAATAAATAAATAATAATAATTTATACAGAATTTAAAATACTTTAATAATCGGTAATTTATTTTTAAAAATTTTCGCCTTTCTTAATTTAATAGCCGATCTCAAGACGGACCCACGAAAAAAAGTTTTGGTCGGTGAGGAAGACTTTTCTTCTAACAATTATTATTAATACAAAAAACAAAAAAAATAAATATTATTACAGTAGATGAACTTGTCAAAATTTTGGTTTTCGACATAATCCCAAAAAAGTAATTTTTTGTGAAAAAATTTACAACTCAAAGTGTCCTAAAAAATCGAAATTATTCCAGTTCTTCAATCATTACCTGAGAAATATATCTAAGAATGTCGTTTCGGTTAAATTTGGCTCGCTGACTCTGAAAAAAGAGTTTCGAAAAAAACGCGAATCTTTCCATTCATATTTTGCGCTTTCTAGTATACCCAAAATCGTGACCTAGAAAACAAAGTAGTGAATATTGACTTTGAAGCTACCTTCCACCTAGGTTTTATATCACAAGAACCCAGCTAAAAAATGTTTGAAAATTTTTTGGTAACACAGTAATTGATTTAATGATAATCATGATTTAGAAAGATATTTGTAAGATTATAGAAAGTATTCAAAGCAGTATAAAATATTAAATATAAATATTATTTACACTTTTACTTTATGCTTGGAAGAATTTTGAAAAGCGGAAAAATGTATATTTCTAACTTGCCACAATCTAAAGCTAATAATTTCGATATTTGTAGATGTTTTAAATTAACACGATTTTATTTTAAATGGAATAACTAATGAAAATGGTTTACCTTACAATGTAGTTTACCGCTATTCGAGTCTGCTTTCAATATACCTACCGAAAATAGCGAAAATGCTGTTTGGTACATAATATATCCATACCAATAACGCAGCTCAGATCGAATAAACTACTTTTTCTTCTTCATCTTCTAAATAACAGTAATTATATATGTGATACTTTTCATTTAAGGTGTCGCCGCTGGTCAAGTTCTTGCAACCGGCGCCTCGATCACTTACTACTCCAGCATAATGGCATTGACTTTACGCTTTTTAATTGCCTCCTTCTCCAAAGTGCTGCCTTGGAGTTACTGTCGCGAGGAGTGGGGCGACAGCTGTCTTAATGAAACCACATCAGTGGCGTTTAACGGTACTCAGTTGAACGTTTTATCGCATGAGCGACAAACAAAAATGTCGCCAGCTGAATTGTATTTTCAGTAAGTCAATAAAAAAAGCATATTCAGATATTTTTTAAATTTTTTAATAAAATTCAAATTTGTTAAACTCTTTCAAAAATTTCAGAAAGGAAATTTTGCACGAACAAGATGACATTTTCAATGGACTGGGCATGCCCAATTGGGAGCTGGTGGGCTGCTTAGCGGTGGCATGGTTTATTATTGGTGGTGTCTTGATAAGAGGTAAGTAATTGAAATATACCTTAAACTATCTGTCTTTTGTCAAGTTGTTCTGGGTTTTTGACTCAGTATCAGTCTGCTCGGGCTCTGCCTTCTTAGTCTTTTATGGTCGTATGTACTTTTATATTATATATTGGTAGTTTCATAAACAGCAGTTAGGTTAGGTTTGTTGGCTGATCCAGGGATCGCACTTGGCCTGCTATATGCACTACTTTGTAAAGCCATAAAAAGTAGTTCTATAGTATACGGTCTTATAAGTCGGCAAAACACCTTGCGGGCAATACAAATTTGCTTAAACGTTTAATTTCTATTCCCACCGGCTCGGTGGAACATCTGAAAGTGTAAGCTACCAAGTGTTTAAGCCTTGTTCGACGGAAACAATCTAAAAGAAAATGTTGAAATGTTTCCAATTCGTCTTTATCCATACAGCTTCTGCAGTTGGTTTCCCGTAAGATTTTTACAGCGTGTATGCCGATAGGGCAATGTTAGAACTCCCTAACTAGGAATAGGCAAGCATTACTGAGGACAAAAAACTTGCGTCAAAAAGATGTTGCGACAGCGCTGTTCAAGTTCCTACGAAGCCCAGCTGTTCCGTGGTAAAACATACGAGGAGAGTGGAGCATCGACCCTTTCCCATTCTACTAATAGCGTGGCTAGGGTGCATTTCTAGCCTTGAACGCACGGTTAATTGGCTCAAGGTTAGTATATACCTCTATCCATATCTATCGCCGTCTTACTATCAGAGTGCATAGTCACTATAAACAGTACTAAAGTTCCAAAATGTATCACTTACAATTCGTTCCTAAGCTGAGCGAACTATTCCGACCGAATCTTACTACCCGTTCCTACGACAGTTAGAGCTCCGTAACCGGAACTGAATTTTTATTCGGCCAAGAACTGTTTGATCCTCTAAAATAACTCACACGATTTTCTAAAATAACATATATACATGGCACTTTTTAACGACTAAGCAACATATATAACTTAAAGCTACCTCGGTATATTGTACAAAATATATATTACTCGCTCTATTTGTATCTTTCTTGTATTAAAGGCGTGAAAAGTTCCGGTAAAGCTGCCTACTTTCTTGGTGTTTTCCCATACGTGGTCTTGCTGGTACTGCTGCTACGTGCTGTTACACTACCCGGTGCCATGGACGGCATCATTTATTTTTTCAAGCCACAATGGTCGGAGCTATTAAATCCACTGGTAATTACTAGTCGTTATTTACATTTATTAGGTTATTTTCATATAGTTGCGTATACGCCATGTACACTCCGATTTTTGAATGAACAAGAAAAAACATTGACTGCGGCTGCACCGAAGCCATTATACTCTTCATAGGTACATGTTTTATAGCAGTTTGTATGGCAGCTATATGCTATAGTGGTGAAATTTGAACAATTTGTTCAAAGATTATAGCGTGGAATCGAAAAATAATCCATGCCAAATTTATTAAAGATATCTCGCCAAATGAAAAAGTTTTCCATGCAAGCACTTGATTCCGATCGTTCAGTTTGTATGACAGCTATATGCTATAGTAGTCCGTTATAGACGATTCCCATAAATGAGCAACTTCTTGTGAAGAAAAGAATATGTGCGAAATTTCAAATCGATAACTCAAAAATTGTGGCATTAGTTCGCCATATACCTATATATACTTTATATTAACTCCGAAGTTCCCTTATGGGTATAACAAATTTCGTGACAAACTTAATATACCCTGTTCAGGTTTTAAAAATTTGAGGTAGTTGTCTGCTTGATGTTTCCACTTAACAAGTCTACAATCTCAATCATCTGCGTTATTTTACTGGTTTCGGGTTTTAAGATTGCCCTCTCTCAACGCAATTTCGACCTAACCTACTTTCAAATAATGCCGCATCTCAAAACATCAGCATTACATTGACATTGTTGGTGTTTAGTAATAACACTAGAACAATAAGGCAAAACGTTGATTAAGAGATCTTCGTGCGGTGGCTTGGTCGCAATTGAGACATATACAGAAGTAAAATGTCACTATCCTATCGCCATAGTGATTTATCGCATGCAATCTGAGCATATTATTGATTCTACGAGAGAGAAAAGCTTTTATCCTTCTCTAAGAAAATATCATTCGATTTAGGCTTAAAAAAACTATTTGCGATTTTTATTGCCCCTTTTCATTTACGACCATAGTCCGCAAGAAACAAAAAAAAAAATACTGTTACTGATATTGTCGCACTGCTCTTCACATACCACCAAAGAAAAAGTCATTGAGTAATCAGACTCCTTTTCTTCCCTGATATGCGCTACTTGTTAATAGGGTGGAGCGAAAAAAATTTTTTTTTACTTTTTTTGCTTAGCCTGGGGTAAAATCTGTAGATTATAAAAAACAAAAATTTTGGACAAAAAAAATTTTTTTTCACATCTAGAGGCGGCGCACTCAGTTTTAAAGTAAATTTCGAGTAAACATTTTTTTGGACAAGAATTTATTATTTTTTATTTAAACTCCTTACATTTATATAAAAATTACCGAATGTGACGGTTTTTGACTCAAACTTTTTTTTAACGCTTAAGCATGTTGTGCTTTAAGACTTTTTTTAAAACTCCAATAATGACCACAAAAAAATTTTTTTAAGTTGATAACTTTTAATTGGCCAGAAAGAGGACTCTACACAGCTTCTAGAACACTTATTGAAAAAATTTTACGAATTTTTTTTGGTCCAAAAATTTTATTTTTTTATAATGTACAGATTTTACCCCAGGCTAAGCAAAAAAAACAAAATTTTTTTTCGCGCCACCCTACTTGATAATCTTTAGTAAATCAGTTTTAGCTTCAAGTGCTGTCCAAAGCTTGTTGCTTCTTCATTATCTGAGACCAACAGTTTTAATTGGTTTACTTCTTCAGGTCTGGTATGCCGCTGTCACACAAGTCTTCTTCTCATTGGCCATCTGCTTCGGCACGTTGATCACGTATGCCTCGTACAACAACTTCTCACGCAACGTCTACAAGTAAGTCTAATAGAATCTATACACTAATAGCACTAATCTGAAACTTGTCGCTAATATTAACACACACACACATATGCGCACGCGCAGAGATATAGTGATCATCACCACAATGGATTCTTGCTCCTCCATCATCGCAGGCTGCATCACATTCGGCATACTCGGCAATTTGGCCTTCAAAACCGGCGCAGCCGATGTGGCTAGCGTTGTGAAGGGTGGCGCTGGCTTGGCTTTCATCTCCTACCCCGATGCCATAGCCAAGTTCGAATTCATGCCACAGGTACGTATCGATGTGCTCTAGCGCCCAAATGGCGCCCTAAAACAAAACTACCTAAAAGGCATTCGCGGTACTTTTCTTTCTCATGCTATTCGTATTAGGTATCGGCAGCATGGTCGGCATGGGCTCCTGCATTGTACGTGTGATACGTGATCGTTGGTTGCGTGCGCCGAACTGGGCGCTAGCGCTGAGCTTAGCAGTGCTGGGTTTTGCCGTAAGCATTGTATATATGACACCTGGTGGACAGTTTGTATTGAATCTGGTGGATTTTTATGGTGTATCATTTACGGCGCTAATTTTAGCGATTGGCGAATTATTGGCCGTTGGTTGGGTGTATGGTAAATAAGCGGCGGTTTTCAAACTTAATTTCAAAATATTATCTTATGTTTTGTTAATTTTGCAGGCGTGAAGCGTTTCTGCGCCGATATTGAATTTATGATTGGCTTGAAAACCGGCGTTTACTGGCGCGTCTGCTGGGGTGTCATAACACCGGGTCTAATGCTGGCTGTGCTCATTTATACACTCATCGATTTGAAGCCGTTGACATACAAAAATGTTGACTATCCACGCATAGCGCACAGTGAGTGTAAAATATGAATAATAGTAAGGAACTAGTGCCTCAGTTTTTGAGATATCGATCTGAAATTATGCACACATTCTTTTTTTTGCAAGACGCTGCTCATTTGTAGGAACCGCCGTCATCAGTTCAATTTTGCATATAGCTGTCATATAAACTGATCGGTCAAAATCAAATCTTTGTATGGAAAACTTTTATATTTGATAAGGTATCTTCACGAGATTTGGCGTATGTGATTCTCAAAGGCAACGCTACAATCTCCGAGCAAATTGTTAAGATCGAACTGATATAGCTTACAGCTGTCATACAAAGTGATTGATCAAAATGAAGTCTTTGTATGGAAAACTTTTTTATTTGACAAGATATCTTCACGAAATTTGACATATGTGATTGCCTAAGGCTAGGCTACAATGTCCGATAAAATTATTTAGATCGAACTACTATAGCTTATAGCTGTCATATAAACTGATCAATCAAAATCAAGTTCTTGTATGAAAACTTTTTTATTTGACACGATATCTGCACAAAATTCTGCATAGATTATTGTCTAAAACAGCGCAACAATATCTGAACGAATTGTGCCGATCGAGCTACTATAGCATATAGCTACTATTGCCACCGCTGAATGCTAGATTTAATTGTACATATAGTTGCTATAAGAAATACACCTGTGCAGGGTATTATAGCTTCAATGCAGCCGAAGTTAACGTTTTTTCTTGTTTTTGTATATTTTCATTGCAGTTTTCGGCTGGTGTTTGTCCGCCATTGGTCTTTTGCAAATACCGTGTTGGGCTTTATACAGCATTTACAAGCAGTCAAAAACCGTTGGTTTGCTTAATGTGAGTTACAAATAACACTAATGCTTGTATATATATGAAAATATTTTGTTGTTGTAATTTTTTATATTATTTCAGAAATTAACGGCTGCCGCTGCACCTGCAAATGTTTGGGGTCCACTGGAGAAGAGTACGCATGAAGAGTATGTAAATCAACGCCGCAAATTGGAGCTGGAAGCGAAGCAGAGAACAATTTTACAAACCGCTTATGATAATTTATTTGGTTAGATTAACTTTTATGTGCGCATGATATTTCTTTAGCGAAAATTGTATTTGTTTATTAATAGCTACAATTTACACAATTGTTGTATTCTTTTATTTAAAATAAATTTTTAACAAAAGTCTTGCATAAATGGCTTAAATTTAAATTTCAGGTTAGAATGTATGTATGCATGAATATGTGAAAGTAGTTCACAATTCGCCTTACAGCAAATAAATATGTAGGTATTAAGAAAGCAGTTGTTCATGTATGTACGTAAGCGCATTTTCTTAAACAAAAAAACTTACAGTACTTTAAAAATGATATTATAAAAAAATGTTAATGAGCTCACAGTCAATATTTATATTTATAACTTTTATAATTTGTGCATAAATGCAATTCTGCTACGTGCTGTCGTTCTGCGCTTAATTGCTATGCAACGCATTCGATTTTGTTTGCTCCGCGATCGCTGTTTCCGACGTGTATATGCGTTTCGTCACCAAATAATCACGCATTATTTTAAAAAATGTGAATTGATTTGTAAGCGATGCAAAACTAATCGACAACATAAAGTGCCACTCGACAGCATAATATAACACTAATATGCCGGCCAAGACTACGGCGGCCTGTAGACCGGTCAGTATCATGTATATAATGGCTGGATTGCGGAACAGTTTCTAAAAACAGGAATACAAAATAAATAAATAGCAATAATTGGTGTTTATAAATAGCAAACTCTTTACTCACATAAAATCTAGAATGACTAGAATTTCCCGGTAATGCAACCGTCACTGGACCAGTAGCACAAAATAGCTCGCCGTTGCATTTCACAACACTATCCTGAGTCCATACCGTGTTTGGTTTCCAAACAGTGGTCGTGCCACTGGATGATGTGCTACTGCAACTACTACTGCCATTACTGCAACTTGTGTTACTACTATTGCCACCAATTGCGCGCAACTCCATACGCGACCAATAACCTAAATGCAGTGATGCACGATGTAAGATATCGCTATATTTTGCAGGGAAACCAAAAGCAAATGCCATAGTAAGGCAACTTATCCAGATGTACAAGGCATTTTGATATGTCCACAGCACATTATAATACATGGAGATAGCAAATAGGCATGGCACAACACCTGCGTAGTAGGCATTTAATAAAGATGTAAACACAATTTGTTTGAAGCGTATATTGAAATCATTTTTTAGCACAACGATTTCTTCGCGTATGATGTCAGGGCTGCTGGAACAGCAATGCATAGGCATGCCGTTAAAGTAGGCGCCTTCAACTTCATATGAACTGCGCAGAAAAGACTCAATTTGGAAGCCAAAAATGAGTATGTAGATGACAAGACTACGTGTATGAGATAGTATTGCAAAATTAATTAACAATAACAAATGCTAAATTTAATAACTTACGGATAGACTAGCAAAAATACAGGCATAAACGATTGTTTTACATAGATTTTATACACACAAAATCCAAGCAGTGCTAAAAGACAGCTGCTAAAACTGTACTTAACTATCTTTTTATAGATACGCCGGTGTTCACTACTCAAGTTCTGCAACAATTCTTGTCCGCGTATGAGCAGGCAGAATACAAAACGTCTAGACATTAGCAGCACTATGAACACTACCAGATAGGGTTCTATGAGGTATACGTTCTGTAATGGTAAGAAAATTATATTATTATATAGTTCCGAATACTTGAAACGTTATTGTGTACTCACTACTGTTCGCGTCGTATTAGTCTCCGGCACCCACCACATTGTGCGATAAAGGTTTATAAATTGCATGGCCGCTGCAAACGTGATAAATAGAAACATTATAAGTTCATTGATGAGCTCCGAACTGCCAGGGAAATCTGGGAACGGTATATGCTTCGGCATGGGTGCTCCATCAGTATTGTTGTATACAATAGCGCTGTTATTCTTATCTCTTGTAAGGTGGCCGGTATTACCATCATTTTGCACTTCCACACCCATTCTTCATTCGATAATTTTTTATTTAAGACAATTTTTAAGTGGTTTGTTGAATTTTTATTTTATTTACTGCAGATTGAAATAACAGATGTTGTCAATGCGTACTTACAACAAACTTTTAGGTAAATAAACAAAGGCAAATTCAGAGTTCGCTGTTAAAATAAAAGGTTGTCAGTTTGTTTTGACAGCGCCATCTGTGAGCGTAAGTTACTGCCAAACAGCTGACGAAGCAATCAACGTCTATAAACAAAATTAATTAACAATTATTTTAAATCCGTTTCCTTTATATTATATTATATACCATACTTTCATGAAACGCATTATTATATTCATTTTCAAAACATTTTGTGAAATATGCTACGCCGCTACAACGATCCTAAAAAATACATACATATTTTCTTTTTTAATAAACAACTTTATTTCTTACTGTCAGTAAAATGCCATGAAGTGCCCTGACTATGATCTTGTATAGTAATTCCATGGTGTTGCAAGCAATTACGCAACTCGTCACAAATTCCAAACAGTTCTTTGTTTTTCCCCGCTACTGCACGTTCGCGTATTAAATGCCTTGATTGTAACAAATCTTCTACAAAAGCATTCAAATTGAATTCTGTATTTGCATTTAACGTCTGCGTTTTTGATGCTTCCACAAAACTAAATCCTAGAATATTTAAGTGTTGTTGTATAAAGTTATCAACAGCTGCTATAGCATCCATACAATTGCTTGTTGTCAAATTATGTTCAATTTCGCTAACGCCCGCATTAATTTGCCGGCTCACTATGTTTGCTTGTTCCAGCAGTACACCAACACTACGTGCTGTATCGAAATCATCCTTATAACAAGCATCTATATCTTCTTGTGCATGCTGTAAGCCACTAAGCACCTCACTTGCATTCACATGGGCAGCACGCTTTTTACCACATAAATACGCATTGCAATCTGCCTTAAACGTTCTAAAACGTTTCAGTGTATTTCTTGAAGTCTGCATTAGCTCATCACTATAGTCTACAGCGTTGCGATAGTTAGACAGTGCACAAGACATGCGAAACTCGTCGGCTGTATAACGTTCCAACATGGCACCGACGGAGATGGTATTCTTCAGCGATTTAGACATTTTTACCGGCTGACCTTTAATATGCAACTGACCGGTGTGTAGCCAATAATTCACCCATTGATGTGTGCTGTGGTAGGCACAACTTTGTGCTTCCTCGTTTTCGTGATGTGGGAATCGTAAATCCAATCCGCCAGCATGGAAGTCCAACTGTTGACCAAAAATCATGCTGGCTAATGTGCTGCATTCGATGTGCCAACCAGGACGTCCGGCGCCCCAAGGTGACGGCCATGATGGTTCATTTTCCAGTTTTTGCGCTTTCCATAACGCAAAATCAGGTGCAGCATTTTTACCATTTGAGAACTTTTCTGGCTCCACATCTATGCTCACTTTTTGTAATTTGCCATAATTTTCACATTTACTAACTGCAAAATAAACGCTACCATCATTACCTTTGTAAGCGCTACCGCTGTCTATGATACGTTTTATGAATTCGACTATTCGTGGTATATGCTCAGTTACACGTAGCTTTATATTTGGCTCTTGTATGTTAAGTTGCCCCAAATCAGACCAGAACTCACTTTCGTAAAATCGTGACAACTCACGCCAATCTCTACCACTTTCTTTGCTTTTCAGTATTATTTTATCATCAATATCAGTTATATTCATAGCTGTTATCAAATTCACATTAAAATGCTGACGCAGTATACGTTGTATGATGTCTAGTTTGACGTAGCAACTAATATGACCAATATGTGTAGAGTCGTAAACTGTAGGACCACATGTATACCAGGTCGCATATGTGTCGTTGGGTAGTATCAAAGGAACTTTTTCACGAGTTATACAATTATATATTTGTATGCCAGTATCCTTGCCGCTTAAGGGCTTTTCCCACAATTGTTTGCTGACGAATCGTTGAATTTGGCATGGCCACAATCGAAAGGGCTTCAGAAAACTATAAATAAAGAATTTTAACTATTACTGTTGAACTAGATTTTTATACACTAACCTGCTTTGTGACATTGTTATATATAAATATTATTTTCACTTAATTAATGCCGGTTGTTATCAATTCCTTGCCTCTTATAGTACAATCAGCAAGTTCGCAAACAATACGCTTAATGCTGCCATTAAGTAAAATAAAATCACTAAAATCTAATCATAAATATCGGTATTTGTTAGAAACAAAAATTATGTTTAAGAAACTATCTTGAAAAAACAAAAACAACGCTCACAAATATAGATTTTCTAACTACTACACTAAAAACTTTTATTAGTTGCGTTTGTTGGTTTGAAATCCTAAATAATTTTAAATTTATCTACATGCTAATATTTTGTTGCTTTATAACGCTACAAAAATCCACCATCATTATGGCATCTCCTAAAACCGAATCAGCTGTTTTGTTATGAATTCGTTGCATTTGCGAAATTTGTGTTGCTTGGAGAAGTTTTATCGCAGTTATTTTTTAATTGTGTTGAATAAGTGTTCATCTTTTTCAATCCTTCAAAGTTTCTTACAACGAAACCCATTGCAAGATGATGCGCTACGAGGGTGATGAAAAATTGGCGGATACCACTGCCTGTGCAGGTGTTAGAGCGGATCTGAAAATGTGCCTGCTAGAAAGTGATTGCTGCCGTATTGTGAGTGCAAGTGATTATGTTTACGAACAATATGAATTATACAATTTTTAATCTAGGATAAGAATACACCGCGAGAGTGTCTCAAATCAAACAATGTGCCCGAGGAATGTCAAGTACTGCGGAACCTATTCTTCGAGTGCAAACGTTCAATCGTAAGCGCTAAATACTTCTGCCTTTAAATATATTTTTCTAATATTCCATTTATTTAAAGCTTGATACTAGACAACGGTTCCGTGGACGAAAGGGTTATTGATTGATATTAATACTAATTAGATTCAATGTTGCTACGACTTCAATAGGATTTTACTGTATTAATATTTTATTTCATAATTCAAATAAAAATATACATTAAATATTAACTTACATTATACATACACGAATTACATTAAATGATAAAAAGGTGTGCAACTTAGTTTCGCCTTCGCCGTACGCGTGATATACGCCAAGCATTGGGCTCTTCGTATTTATTGTATAATGGTTCGAGACGTTGGTTCTTCTTGAATTTACTCAACTTTGTTGGATCGGAGAAGCGGAAAAATGATGGCGCAAATTCTACCAACCACTTTGGATCGATGGTCGTTACTTCGCGCATATACTCCTTGGTCGTTTGAACGAGCTCGTGGTAAACGACCCACTCGGGCTGACGATTGAATAGCGCGCTTGAAGGATGTATATAAACAACCTGTGAATCGACAAGTGTACGATAACCTTCTTGTGGATCCTTTTTGGATGCATTACGAAAGAAACCCGAGCAGATGGCTTTTTGTATGCGTACAGAATTTTTACCCGCCGATACAACATCCAATTTATGACGATCCATTATGCCAAGCAACTGTTTGCGCACATCTTGCGAACGTTTGAGTGTACGTATTTGCACGAAGTTCTCATAACACCATGCATTTGAGAATTTGTTATTTTTCCAACTGTTGTAGACGGCAAGTAGTGTTAAATGATCGCCTTCGGGTTGATTGAATTTTGCCTTCTTCTGATCAGCCAAGGCTTGCTTGTCCTTCGGACGATAGAACACATTCTGTACGCTTAACATAGAAACAATAGTGAGCACTTCATCGGAGCATTGCAATGCCACCGACATTATGAGCATTTTCGATAGATTTGGTTCCAGGGGAAATTCGGCCATACGTCGACCCAAACGTGTCAGCAAACCCTCATCGTCCAGCGCGGATAATGAATGCAAGTTCTCTAAAGCCATAACCAAGGATTCGACAGGCGGTGCGTCCATGAAATCGAAATGTAGCAAATCATTTATACCCATTGTCTTCAGTTGCAACACGGTCATCGCTAAATTCGTGCGCTGTATTTCCGGCACTGGTGTAGGCAACATCTCGTCACGATATGCGCGCTCCGTATACAAACGATAGCATTTGCCGGGACCTGTGCGCCCAGCACGACCGGCACGCTGTTTGGCGGCCGCTTGCGAAATTGGTGTGACCACCAGCGAGTCCATGCCCGTTTTCGAGTTGTATACTTTTTGTTTGACAAAACCCGGATCAACGACATAGAAGATGCCATCAATTGTTAGTGAGGTTTCAGCAATATTTGTGGCAATTACGACTTTGCGACTGCCCGCTGGTGCCGGATCGAAAATACGCGTTTGCATTTCGGATGGCAACGCTGAATACACTGGCAGTATAATTAATTCGGGCACATCGGGTCCCAAACTTTTCATGCGTTCGTAGAGTATTTCGCAAGCGGTGTCAATCTCCTCCTGACCCGTAAGGAAAAGCAATATATCGCCTGGTGGTTCGCGCAAATGTATTTGCATCACAGTGATCAGTGAAGCATCTAAATAGTCTGTTTCCGGTTCTTTGGTGTACAATACTTCCACAGGAAATGTACGACCCGGTATAGTGAAAATGGGCGCTTCAAAGAAGTACTGTGAAAATTTCACCGCATCCAGCGTAGCGGAAGTGACGATCAGCTTCAACTCGGGCCGCTTTTGTACGGCACCTTTTAGTAGACCGAAGAGCACGTCAGTGTGTATAGTACGTTCGTGCGCTTCATCCAACATAATAACGGAATATGATTTCAAATCAGACTCCATTAGACATTCGCGCAATAACATACCTGTTGAAGGAGAATTAGTAAAATTTTGACATAATTCAGTGCGTAACATACCGTCTGTCATGTATTTGATCACCGTTTCGGGACTAGTACAATCCTCGAAACGTATAGTGTAGCCCACTTCTTGCCCCAGGCGGCAACCAAACTCCTCAGCCACACGTTTTGCCACAGACATGGCCGCCACACGACGCGGCTGTGTGCAACCAATTTTGCCGCGCGCTGTGAAGCCACTTTCTGCCAAGTATTGCGTAATTTGTGTCGTCTTGCCGGAGCCTGTCTCGCCAATGACAATTAGTATTTGATTATCGGAGACAGCTTTAATGAGGTCATCGCGCAGTTTGTAAATGGGCAGCGATTGACGTTGTTCCAGCAATGACATGTCTGTCTTTTTACCAAAGGACGATTTCTTGCCACCAATAACGTGTTTCTTCCACTCGGGCACTTCAATGGCGGCGCCGGAACCAATGCCACGTGTATTTGTCATAGCGCGAGACTCATCCTCATCGGGCAGTGGATCAATCCAGTTGCGACTCATGTTTGTCGGAGCGACGGCGTCTTGCTCGCGCTGTAACATTTTCTGTTCGCGACGTTCCTTCGATAAAGCGGACTGCATCATGGCAGCTTGTGCCAATGAACCATCGGGATTCTTAACAATGCGCACGGGTGAGAGATCGTGCAATGCGCGTCCATGCCCGGAGAGAAATGGTGGTTCCTCCTCTACAATTTCTATTTCTATGTCAGCTTCATCGTCCTCCTCCTTTTGTATTAGACCAGTTTCCTCGTCAAAATCAGGCATTTCACTGCGGTCAATGACACCGGAGCTAATCATCTGTTTAATTTCCCAACGTTCCGGACTGGATATGCGCGTGACACGTTTACGCGAATCACTCTCATCATTGTCCATGCTGCCGCCCTTTGTAATTGAATTGATTGTTAGTAGACAATCATAACCCTTATTATATAAACCACTTACTTGTAAATTTAGCAACGAAGTACCGCTATATGGCCGATCAGGATTACGATCCCTCATCTCATCCTCCGGCGCCACATGCGATAACGGATTCAAATCCCTACCACTTGCTTGATCCACCTCTTTCATAGAAAGTGATACCTTTTGTCCAGCGATAGACATCACCTTTACTTTCACATTTGTATTTCGCTGCACGACTTCCGTGACATCAGTTACACGACCCTCGGAACGAAGTTGTGAAATATGCACCAATCCCTCCCAACGTTTACGCAATCCAAAAAGCTGCACAAAACAACCGAACGGCACAATATTCGCCACTTTGCCGGAATAAATTTTACCTGGCTCTGGATCATCAGGTAGTGTTGCTGGTGGTGGCATTTTTTCATTTCGTCCAAGACGATCTTCGGAGTTGGAACGCGAGCGCTTACGTCTGCTTTGTTCATTACGGTCTCTTGAGCGAGATCTTCTTCTGTCGCTACGCTCATTGCGCTCACGAGACCTTGAGCGACGGCGGCGGTCGTGCGAACGTGATCGACGTCTGCTGCTACTACTAGTGCTATGACCGTGCGAACGTGAACGTGAGCGACGCCTACGTGCACTACGATAGTCTTCACGTTCACGTTCTCTGTCCCGTTCATGCATCCGTCCACGATCACGCGATTTACTACGGGAACGGCGACGTCTGTCATGTTTTCGCCGCTCACTTGGTGAATATGAACGTGATCGTCTATCTCGGCTTCTTTCGCGACGACTACTGCGTTCGTGTCTGCTAGCGTGCTCTTTCGACCGCGAACGGGAACGGGAGTAGCGGTCAAGCTTTTTCTTCTTTTCTGATTTTACTTTAACATCTTCGTATTTCCTTTGCGCACTTGGCGCTAGTGCTTCCAATTTGTCCATAGTATCATCAATATCCCTTTTACTAGGTTTCTCGTCACTTTTTATTCGTTTACTAGGAGCTAAAGCTTCTAATTCAGCCATCATGTCATCGACATCGTCTTTTTTGATTTTGTCGTCACTTTTACGTTGACTTGGTGCCAGTGCTTCCAGTTCAGCCATTGTTTCGTCGATATCATCGTCTTTTTTACTTTGCTTACGTTTACTTGGTGCAAGCGCTTCTAGCTCATCCATAACGTCGTCTAAGTCATCATCCTTCTGGGACTTGTTTCTTTTGTTTTTGTTGTTATCTTTCTCACATTCCGATTCGGATTCACTAGACGTACTCTCGTTGGCACTTTCACCACCACTGCTATATGTTTTACTAAACTTATCATTTGGCAATGCCAAACCTGGAAACATGCGCGTCAATTGGTCCGCTTTTGCAGTTTTGATGCTACCATTGCCTTCTAGTTCTGCAGTGTCTCTGTCCGGCTTCATCAAATTGATAATTCTCTGAAGATTCGTAACAAATGAATCTGGAAATTCAGCACCATTTTCATGCAGCGCTTTACGAAATGAATCAAACGTGGAATTTTTATGTTCCAAATCGATTATAAACTCCGCTAAATCTTTGTCGTTTAGACCCAAGTGATTCTCCAGCTCGGTGCAAATTTTTGAAACCAACGACAAGTATTCCAATCGCCGTAACTCCTCCATGTTGTATTTATGTAGAATGCGGCTTTTTTCAATATTTAGAACTCATATAAAATTAGTTTTTGCAATCAGTGCGAAAAAATGTGAAAGATTTACTATAAATGCTTGTAAACGTAAACTAGACAAGTGTTGACAATCAGCTGGTGTAGAAAACAGTGTTGCAAATGTCCAAGGCGTAGTGTTGTGCAGCAGTTCATTTACTAATTTTGGAAATAGAGCGCAAGGCATGGATTGTGGAACGTATGTAAATATATAAATTTCAAAAGATGCAAATTTCAATAATACAAAATGAAATAATATCGAAAAAATATCAATAAAAGTATATAAAAATAAGTGTTTTATTTTTATTATTTGTTTGGCCATAGGGAAGCTGTCATAGTAGATGATTCCTGAAAGGGCTACATATACGAGTATTACTGGATTCCAGGCCCCAAGGGCGTTCCGGGAAACGAAATAGATGATGAAATTGCCAAATGTGTCATCCGTTTGACTGCCAAACCATTTTAGGACATACGCGAGTCGTTAAAAACTATACAAAATGAAATTTCCGAAAGGGCTGACAGACGGATCAAGGTGAGATGGAGATGCCTTAAGGGCATACAGGATCGCCAAAATTATGTGCAAGGGAGCGAAAGGAAAACACGCAAGCTTTCTAGTCACACGGTCTCGAAAAGGCTGGGCATTATTAACGATGACACATGTAGAAAGTGCTGGGAAGTAGGCATGAGAGAGACGCTGTAACACCTCCTCTGCTTAAGTTCGGTCTTATCGAGATCTCGGTTTAGATATCTAGGAGTTTCGCAGTTTAAGGGACTGGATGAACTAACAGAATTAGATATCAAGTCTCTATTAAACTTTGCAAGAAGTGTTGACGTCCTACATGACATACACTTCAGCTTGTATTATTAATGAACCGCCATCTGGCAATACAAAGTACATGTAGGTCTATGTATGGCGTAACAGCCAGCCACTTTAACCTAACCTAACCTATATATCCTATATACTGCAATTTGCAGTATTTGTATGTTTTCACCTGGAATACGCTGTGATCATTTGTAGGTCATATGATCAAAATTCGTTTAATAAAATTGAGTGAATTGAAAATATTGAAAAATCCTATACCATCATACAATTTTCCTTATAAGTTTTTGGATTTTTTTCAGTTGCGACACGCTTAGCGATCAGCGTGGCTAATATTTTTATTGTTGTATAAAAAAATTAATATTATTTACTTAATTTACAGTTTTCACTTTTCGCATTATTCTTCTGCATTTTCACTTCAGCATGCCAATTTTTTTGGCAGTTGAAATCAAAAGATATTTTTGTTTTTTGAAAAAATAATGTCCAAAGTTATTTTTCAAAGATTTGCTTTATTTCTCTAATGCATCATTAAAAGTTTTCTCCGCAAGTATTCACTTGAACTTTTGCTCTGAAAATGGCAAAAAATGCAGAAAACTCGCTTTCTTATGTCAAAGTTTAAAACACACACACAAACAAAAAGCAAAAACATAAAAACTAAAAATGCGACGAATGCCGAAGAAAACAAATATGCGACAAAGCGCAAATGCAGCAATTCCGATTTTTGTATGTATATATGATGTCGTGTTTGTACGAATATATTATATGTATGTATGTATATAATGGAATATGCTATTGTTTATATATATATGTATTATGTATGTGTGCGCTTGTACCTTTGCTTACGCCCATTTTCCTACAAACTTACACCTGAATGGGATAGTTCACGCAAAACTTCAATTGAATTTCCGTTGTGCCATTTTCGCACTTGACTTTTGCCTTTGGATTGAGGCATTGTGACAAGTTTACACAGAAAGTGGCGATTCAAGCAGTCAGTTCCATAGTTTCAGCCACTTGCTGAGCGCTGCAACTAATCCCCTTCTTAATTAGTTTCTTAACCAACGCCACACAATTTTAATGATCAAATCAAAAATCTAGAGAATTTTCTACGTTTATACGTATATATATGTATAGATATGCACATGCATGCACTTTAAAAGCCACCTCTCCCACACACCGTAGGAGGAGCAACATTCGGCTAAGCTCTTGCCACACATCGCCCATTTTGCATGTCCGCATTCAAGTTGGCAAAGCGGAAGTTTCCAGTCGATTTATATGGTCTTTCATTTGCTCGCTCAATTGAACTTATCGATGGCACATTAAACTGTCGGCTTTTTAATTAAGTTCATAACATACTTTTTTAGACATCGGCAGCTGGTGAGAACTTTCACCTTATCATCTTTAGATATGCCAAGCAGATATGGGAAGTGAAAAGTTGATAAAGTGGAATCAAAATAATAAAGTTGAAATAGTTCAATCGGAAGGAAATTCAGTTGAATGGACAGGAAGCGCAGCTGTGCTTCGTTTTGCATGCAAAATCAAAGAACGATTTCTTTCTAAAAATGTGGAGCAAAGTTTAGCAAAGACATCTGCATTCTGCACTAGTGTAGTTTGTAGTGGTTGCTTTGCCTTCTGCTCGATTTGCAGAATCGTATCGTAGTATTCAACGTCAAATTGCAAAGAAGAAAATATAATATAATGAAGACATACAGCAACTGTGGTTTCATAGTAGATGAGGGGATTAATGTGTGCTCTTAAACAGTTCTAGTACTTTTCTATCAAGGCATGAAACGGTTCCATTAAAGTAAAAAACAATATAAGAATGTGTACCGATTTTGTTCAAAAAAGGAAACCAGAAGAGTTTTCGTGTGAATTATTAACTTGATTCGAGGTGTTTGATTCAAGTTATTATAAAGACATATTGTACATTTGTAGACCAATTTGGTTCATATTCGAAATATATAAGGCATGTTTTTTTAGACCTGAGGTTTTCAAGAAGAAATAAAAGGCATATAATTCAATATTAAGGCCAATAATTTAGCTTTGTTTTAAAAATAAGGGTTTGCCAATAAGTTTTAAAAATTATTTCGGGCAAGTAGGCACCGCGACTGGCTCGAATAAATTCCAGGCTAGAGGCCCACGTCTTCTGTTAAATATCCACATATCATAGTGTTAAAAGAACACGTCCTCACCACAGGCCCACCAGGCGAGATAATGCGCTCATTGATCGTTTCGTTTCTAACAAAGTGTGTTTCATCGCTGAACAAATTTTTTTTGTGAAACTCGAGATCAATTGGCATCTGGTTTTACGTCCATTCAAGGAACGTGCAATGCACTTGATGGTTGTTCTACTTCAATACTTGAATGAGTTTCATTTTGTAAGCCTGCAAACCAAACTGAGGTCGTTCCGCAAAATCTCCCATAAAGCGAGTCTGCTTCGATACTCTGGTCCACAACAGCAGTAATAGCGCCTTCGGTCTGCTCTGAGGATCCGCATAATCTAATCTGCTAAGCGATTACGTCGACAAATATTGCGAGTTTATTTACACAAATCGTGCAAATTTATTACCCACATCATTGTGCGGTTCGTGCGATACATCGAGTATATCTCAGGTAACGCTCAACCACGAATGCAAGTAATACTTTTGGATAAAGAATTTATTAAACCAACGTTTTCTCAGCGTTGAGACTGTGGACAGCTTAAATACTTCGCATCACTGACTGCACTGTTTAAAGTGCAGCGCAGCGCTACAATGTGTCCGTTTGTGTAAATAAACTCTGACAGTGGTGTCTGACACTGGCGGATATGCGTGCCAAATCATCGTCTTCCTCAAACACGCACACATACAAACACACACGTACACACATAACCCGAACGCATTCACGTGGCGCATCAGCATTTTGTCATTTGTCACCCACCCGCTCCGGCATTTCGCAACAATATTTTCTATGGCAGTGCATTTATTGTGCACATTTGTATAGTATGCATGCATGAGTGTGCGTGCCTATGTGCGCTTACATGTGTATGTAGGCCACAGCTAAGAATTGAGCGCATGCCAACAAGGACGTGAGCTGTCATTGTAATTTGTCATCAAGTTTGGTATGCCGTTCCTGTTGCTGTTGCTGTTGCTTTGGCTGTGACTCTTGCTGTCTCCACTGCTGCTGTGACTCTGTTGTTGGCAACATGTTACCTCGGCGCCGTTGTTGCCATTGTTGGATCTTTAGCTTGCTGTGTTTACTGCTATGTTTACTGTTGCTCTTCTTCGCCCACAATTGCCAGTGTCAACTTGGCACTGACTCAACATATAATAATAACAATAAAAATAACAACAACAATAAAATAATAAATGCTTGTACTAGTAGAATGGTTACTGTAGGCAGGAGACATACGAACTGTACAACTATACAATCGCTGTGATGCACTCGAGCTGTTCCCAATGCCGCATTACTGCCTCCAACGGCTGTCGGTGTTGTTGGCATTAGAAAATGATGAGCATGAAAATATCAGAATTTCATTGTCGCACTGTAAACATAGTGATGCAATGACAATGACCGTTGATGGTCGTTATTATGTCGTGTAGCGGTCAACAGGCAAGGAGCGCATTAATGCAAATTGAAAACGCTTAATTGTGTGATTTGTGAGGGTAATACTTGGTTTCGAAAAAAAGCAAAAAAAAAAATGTATATTCAAAATTAAGTTTAACAAGTAACTCTGGCTTAACTGAAGCCATAATACCCTTCACAGGTACATTTTTTATAACATAAAAAGGTATAAAAAGATTTTTATCTTGATTTTGATCGTTCAGTTTGTATGGTTAGTAATCCGATCTGAACAATTTTTTCGCTTCCATTCCATTGAGATTATACTGTTGCCTTTGACAATAATCTATGCTAAATTTCGTGAAGATATCTATAATATAAACTGTAAAAGACTGCTCTGCTGCAACCAACCGTTTCTCCATTAAACTTCTCAGTTAAAATTGCTGCCTCAAGAATATTTATGATGATCTTTTTAATGATCCTGATCTTCCACCACCTTCACCGAAAAGTTCATCGTTGAAATTTAAATATTGCCTTGTTCTGTGCAATGCCTCGAGTGATTGTTGAGGTTTGATTTGTTTCTCGGCAATTGGCATTTTACTGAAAATTACAACAATTTTTGTTTTACAACTTCACAAAATATAACTCTCGCGTCTCTTAGTTTCATTAAGAATTCGCATATAGTGTTGCTACACCCCTCTGCGTAAAACTTCTTAGGTGCGGTGCTTCAACTTACTGAAATTATCGCTCTCACAGACAGACGAACAGACAGCTAACCAGAATTCAACTCGTCCCGTCATAC